ATTTACTAGGAGCACTTCCACACTACTCACTGTCAAATATAACACGATATGTGATGTTCGATGATTAATACTATATTTAACGCAATATAAGAAAAAACGGTTGGTCGCCTCTTTTGATGTTCTTTGTGACAAGTCACTATATTAATGGCTCGTTAGCGGCGTCCTCAAGGGGCATAGCGGGTAGAAATATCTCAGTGACTTTGTGGATGAATTGCAGTGCCACGTGCTTGAGACGACTATGTTGCTTTCTTTGATGTACGGCATGTTTGCATTCTTGAAATTCTTTCACTCTCAGTTAATGCCTAATGGACTGTAGTAAACTATCAGGTATTGGTCCACCATCGTTATTTATAATATCATTATGTTGACCTATTTCTAAGCTCTCGTAGGCATCTAAATGCCTGTTGTTGTTAACTTGTCTAATTAATCCTAATGAGCTAAAATCTAGGTTATGGTTTTGTTGCAAAACATGATAGGCGACTGTTGATTTTTCTTGTCTTCCATATTTTAGGTGTGCTAAGTGTTCCTTATATCTTATTTTAATAGATCATTTAGTCCAGAAGATGCTCTGCATCTTCTGGATACAGGACTTGCTACTGGAGGATGAGGATAGAGTGAATGAAGCATATGTGAATGTAGGAAGGGCAAATGGGAAAAAGCTGGGCACATGAATGTGATAAAAGTGCATGGGATGCAGCTAATGAAAAAATCTCTGGAGAGAGCAATATGAATGAGACCAAACTACTAGCGATAGACTTATGTAGCTTGGACAAAAATGTGAAAGTGATTCTACCATGGCTGTGACCAGGGTGAAAAAAAGCTAGTTTAAAAGTAAAAGAGTGGTGAGAATACAGAGAATGATAGAAGAAAAGAAAGAGGCGGCACAGACATAAAATGCAAATATAGGGAATAAGAAAAGGGGTGGCAGAGACAGGATTACACGGGGTACAAAGAGAGACTGAAGCATGAGTAGGCAAAAAAGGATTAAAGGAGAAATCAGGTAGGAGTGGCGGAGGGGGTGGAATTCCGAAACGACTGGCTATGTGGGACAATTGGGTTTGCCACCTTTTAGAGAATAACCACGATATTAATATGAACTACATCATATTACATACAGAAAATGAAGAACAAAAATTAAACCTGCTGGAATCTTCGGAAATCAATAAACACATTCAATTCTTCTTTTAAACTACTATCACAATTGTTGAACTTGCATACCATTCTGAGGTAACTGTAATAGACATCTTTTAAGCTATATTTTCATCCTACAAAAACTTGTCATTTGATATATTTGCAGAGTAGAGCCAAGAATATATTATAAAGAACATAAAGTTAGTTGTCAGTTTCACATCAAAATAACAACTTGAGTTTATTCTATCCGTCAAATAATTCAATAAAAATACGTCAATTTCTATTAGAACCATGGACATTTTCATAAAAACTATCAAAATATTTCTATTACGGAAAGTATTCTATGATGTACAAGAATATTATAATAAAATTAATCCTTTCTAAAAATATACCCATTTCAATTCAGATAAGATTTGTATGAATGGGATGAAATAAAATAAAATGAATGTCATCACGTACTAGCATCGATAACATGAGTAGATTTAACTCATTCGTGACATAAATTCGTAATTTTATTAGTGAATTTGAGTGCTTCGTCTTATGTTTTCCAATTGGTGCCGAGGTGGCAAATAGGCAAATGTCTCATTCCAAAACAACGGATGTCCGCCATTGAGGATGACAGTATGACATATAAGTGAAATTTTACCTTTTTCATATACTATATTGAAAAGGACTCCTGTAAATGATTCAATTCCAAAATGAATGTTTGAAGTACAAATTGGATAGGAAAAAGTGTTTGCATAATTTCAATGTTCATATGGAAGTGTTGTTTTCGAAAAGGATTTTTAGTTTTGTGTCTGAAAGTTACTTCTTAGCATGATCTACACATTTTTCTAGAGTTTATTTTGAAACTAATTGCTTTCTTCCTTTCATTAGAAGATTTCCCACGTTTTTTTTTTGTATAAAGATGGAGAAGTAGAAAGCCAAACAAAACCTTTCCCAATAATCAATCTCCCTAAAAATATACCCGTTTCAGTTTGAATTATAATAAAGTGTTAACGTGTATGTCCGCGTTGAGGTATGACATTTATATTCAGTTATTTTTGGTGTCTGGATAGACCTTATATTTATTCGTCAGATTTGCACACTAGTAGCTACAGTGTAATTAGTATAATACATTCAAGAATTTCAATGCACACTTCTTTAATGCAACGAGTAACACAATGTATTTAATAAACCAAAAAAAAAATAAGAAAAAGTCGTCCGGTATTGATGAAATTCCTGGTCATGTTATTTAAAAGGTTGCCAATGTGATTTCTGAGCCTTTGACTCATATAGTTAACTCCACTTTCATTGAGGGGGGGTTTCCTGATATACTGAAAATGTCAAAGATTTTGCCAATATACAAAAATAGGGGCTCTCGATCTGACTGTGCATCTTACAGGCCTATATCGCTAAGTTTTCTAAGATTATTGAATACTGTTTCTATCAAAGATTATGTGATTACTTTGAATCATCCAGTAGATTTAGAATCTACAGTTGGTGCAATTGATCAACTCATTAAACATGCGCTGGAAATCTTGGAAAACAAACAGCAGACTTTAGGATTATTTTTTGATTTGAGCAAAGCCTTTGACCTCGATGACCATGACATACTGTTACACAAATTGCAGTTTTATGGTATACGTGCCTCTGCATTGAATTGGGTTGGATCTTACCAGACTGATTGTAGTCAGCTGGTCTGTGTGAATGGAATGAATTCTGAAAGAAAATTTATATCAAGGCTCTGTTTTGGGACCCCTCCTATTTTTGGTTTTTATAAATGATCTTCTGAAATTTTGTTCAAAAGCTTCCATTACTGTTATTTTTGCGAACGATACTAACATCTTAGTATCTGCGGGAACTATGTCCGAAGTAATTGTCAAAGCTAATGAAGTAACTGATCAAATTTCTGAGTGGTGTTCTATAAATATTCAGTGAGGACATTGAATCCTCAAATATCAATATCTTTAAAAGGCAACTCAAGATTTGTTCATTGCAAAAAGCATACTACTCGGTGGATGCGTTTCTCCTTGATTCTTAATTTAGATTGTAGCTTATTAACTTTTTATTTTTTATGTATGTTTAATGTTTTGTATTGACTTTTTTATTTTTTTTATGTTTGTTTGACCTGTTGAATCAGCCAGTATTTGGTTTGAAGGTGATTGACGACAATGTTTCATGATGAATTTCACTAGTTCGGACTTCCATTGTCTACTATATAAAATGATTTGAAATCCCTGAAACAACTAAAAAAGAAGAATTGAGTATGAATAGCTTGAAATAACAATTATATTAACCAAAATCAACCTGAAATGAAATGATAGTGAAATAAAATACAAGTGAAAATAGAACAATTGAATAAATAAAAATATTCCTGTGTGACCTCAATTGACCCTAGTAGTTCAACAAAATGCCTTGATTTCTTCACAAAGGACGATGTTTTTCCTTGTAATGGTTGTATTAAGGGAAGTAAAAATCTAGACAAGTTTTGAGTGGATTCTTCTTCTTGTGGATCCACAAGAAGGACGTTCCGCTTAGACCGATCATCAGCTCCAGAGATTCGGCTACTCGCTTGATGATGGGTTTCCCCATGATCAAGCGAAAAATTGACAACTCCCGCCAAAAAGGTCATCTCCCACGGAACCAGTGAAGCGGAAAATGGAAAGCGGGAATAAGTGAAAGTACTCGAACGACCTATATAGTCATCTCTCTCGGCGGAATCAGTCCAGTCATCACCCAAAGACGATTGTAGATACTAACAATCGAAACGTCGTGAACTAACGTGACTTGGAATCTCTCCACTTTTTATTTTTATTTTCTTTTTTCATTTCTTTATTTTTATTTATTCAATTTTTCTAGTTTTACTTGTATTTTATTTCACTATTATTTCATTTCAGGTTTATTTTGGTTAATATAATTGTTATTTTCAGCTATTCATACTCAATTCTTCTTTTTTAGTTGTTTCAGGGATTTCAAATCATTTTATATAGTAGATAATGGAAGTCCGAACTAGTGAAGGCCAGTATTTTATGATGATGTTATGTTTTTTTTCTTGTCTAATGTGATTGTGAAGGAAAACTGATTCAATAAATGTTTGATCGATTGATTGATTGATCTGCTTCATTTTCTTAAAAAAATCTGTCTGTTTAAAATCTTTCAAAACAACTGTAAACAATGTAAACATCCTATTAGTTACTACAAAAGTAAAGAATGTGCAAATTAATGATAATGTCAGTGATTGCTAACTTAGCTCCAATATTGACAACATGCTCCATAAAAGTATCAGCAATGTTTTGTTGGGTAATCTTTTCTTTTTTCATCGAGTTTTTATTCAGGAGCTTTCTTCAGAGACCTGAATTTAAGAATGACATTTTTTTTAATCTTCTGTTTTTGAAACATTTCTTAAACACATTTTGAAATATTTCTTCCATATTTATTTAAAATCAACAAAGTTTTAGCGGCAATTTGATAAGGACAACAAAATATCTCTTTTCGTCCATTCTATGAACAATAATCTTGAAATATTTTTAATTTACCATTTATTGTGATATTTACAATTATTCAACAGGACAGGGAAATTATTTATCACTCATCCAGGTTAAAACAGATATTGGAAAAAGATCTATTCATTACAATGGCATTATCAATTGCATTACCAAGTTATCCAAAAACTGTAAGAAGTTATCAACATGAATTGAAGAAATATTTGTGAACTTAAAAAAGTATTTATATAACTTGAGTTTGTAGGTTTGTTTATCAATTACAATATGTGTTTCCTATTATACACATTATTGTTTCTTAGTTAATAAACGTTTTCATTCTTATTACGTTCAGAATCCAAAAATACTGACAAATATTGTCCTTTGTAATTATTATTTCTGTTCAAGGTTTTTGAGATGCCTTGTGAACACCAAAGAACTGATGCAGAAATCCGATCTGGACGGAGGAAACATAGAAAACACTCGAGGACCGCTTATGATCTGCGTAAACCTGAGGAATGTAAATTTAGTTTGACAGGCACTTCAGAATTTACTGACAGAACGGACAAAATTATAACAGGAGCTGAAGAATTAACATTGATGCAGCAGTTCATTACAGAGAAGATCATGAAAATGGAGTCTGATGGTAAAAAAAACAGTGAAGTGGACACACTTTTTAAACAGGCATTGAGGGAATTCAAGGACAATTTGGTTCAGATTTACAGCAATGCCACTATGCATAATAGTCTGAAAAGTTGCAATATTAAATACAAGGATCTCATTTTGGTTTTTATTCAGGTGAGCTTGCTTTGATTTTATTCTGATTGAATGTTGATTTTATTCTGATCAAATGTACAAACATGACTCATGCAAAGTGAGATTTGTAAACAACACATCAGACCAATGCTATTTTGCTACTTTATACGAGCTGTATCTTCATTAAATTTCCTGAATTTTTAGACAGATATTAAATAACGAAAATTTATTATTGATACTTTATACGAGCTGTATCTTCATTAAATTTCCTGAATTTTTGGACAGATATTAAATAACGAAAATTTATTATTGATACTACAATACATAATGAAATTTTCATGTAACAGAAATTACTAGTAAGTAAAAACCTCAATAAACAGCAGGATTAATATTCATTATATTATTTGTTTGATAAAAAGTTATTCAATGTCTGTCTTGCACACTCGTATATCACTTTAGCTCATTTTTATATCCTGTGTCAAGGCTATGGAAACAGTATGTCAACGTGAGCAGAAGTTTGAAGACATTAAAGACTTTCCGTTCACTATGGGAGTGAATGCTTTTAGAGGCTTTATGAATGAATTCATGTCGAGCAGAGCAGAAGACAAACCAAACAAATCAAAGAGGAAAAAAGAAAAGAAAAGGAAAGTGGAAATGTACAAGCACAATGGCCATACCTTCCTGCTGACAATAATCAACATTCCTACAGCTTGTGAGATTTGTAGCTCGTTTTTCATGTGGCCCATCGAAAGAGGGCTCGTTTGTCAAAGTTGCAAGATGACCTGTCACAAGAAATGTTATACAAATGCTACCCAGTGTCAGAAGGAGCCAGGATTACAAGGGGAAAGCAAAAGGGTTTTTGGGGTATCATTGGTCACTTTATTAAAGGATGAGAGTAAGATTCCACCTGTTATTGAGAGGCTCTTGAGTACCATTGAATTATTTGGTCTATATACTGAGGGCATTTACAGAAAATCAGGAGTAAGTTCCAAAATCAAAGAGCTAAAGAACAAGATGGATGAGCATCCAGATGATGTCGACTTTGAGAGGTATCAGGTAAGATTGCATCTTTTCAAATGAAATGTTTATTCAGTAATAGAGGTTCAAACTTTATTTATAAATTTAAGGATTTCAAACTTGAGTTTCTAATTTACATTTTTTTTTAAAAGAGTAAAACATTAAGTTAGACAACATATTTTATCAAAAAGTATAAAAATGTCAGTAAAAAATCTACATTATGTACATTACAATAGGAAGTTAATCACCGTTCCAGATCATAATGCATATTAAAAAACCTAGAGGAATCTCTAGGAACATCATCCAACAGGTAAAAAATGGGAGGTAATAAAATTATAACTAATGAAATTCCAAATAAATATCACAAACATTTAATGTAATCTTCTTGATGATGTCAATAATTTTTTATACTATTAGATATTGACTCCTGCCAGATCAGTACTAAAATTGGCCAATCTCAATTTTCAACTGATATAGATATTTTTAAACTAACCACTGTAATCTATGTGTACTGTGTTCCACTCTAAGTTCGTACTGGTCACTCTGTTGTTCGGAGCCCATATTTATGTTATTGTAGCAGGTATCTGGTTTGCCTGACCGGGTACCTGAGTTATTTTCAGGTATCTTGCGTGAAATCAATGTTCTCCATGTTTGTGGTAGTCTCTGTGAATCATCTCGCTTGTTAAGGCAGTTGGGGCGTTTTTCAATTTCGATTGCTTCCCGCATATATTCATGGCTTGTTTCTGGTTCAGATAATTGCCCTTCTCTCCTTACCAGATATCAGTAATAGACAATTCAATGGAAGTAAGTTAGTGCCAAAAATGAAAGTAAATATACATTTTTAGTTCACCATAAATCCGATTGGGAGCGCGAGAGTTATATACATAATGTATATTTTCATTTCACTCCACGCATTAAATTGACTCCTATTTGACCAAAAGTCGTGGCAACCCTGTAATACCCATTAAACGTGACTTCGGGACTCCCAGATCAGAATTTCCATATATTTGTATTGAAGTCTGAAAAGTTGAAGTTTATAAACTATAAAAAAGTTATAACAAAAGCATAAGCAGTTACGATAACATTATAAATTTGATCATTACCGATTGAAGTTCCAAGGTTTCTCAATTCTGCTCGAATTAAAATTCTTAATGAAGTACCTGATATTCCTGCTCATACTCCAAAAAATGAAATATAAAGTTTCAATATTTTTATGATAAGTCGAGAATAACCATTTGTTCGGTGGAATGGCTGGGAATAAGCAATAAATTGTAAATTTATTTACGAAATAAAAATGTATGCCAGTCTTATAGTCAAAAATTATTTTAAATTGCAAATTTGAAGGTGAAATCAATTTTTAAGGCTTAGATAAAAATCTATTGTCAACTTTGAAGGTTGAAAGTTTTTACTACCTTGAATAATCCAACTAAACTTTTGAGTGGCTGATCAAAATTGATTCATTCTTGAAAAAAGTTAACATTGAGGAAGTTATTCGAATATATAAGAACATAGGAATTAATGTAAAAGTAATTAGAAT